TACAGTGTCCACCGCCTGACCAGACGCAGCCGCCGTTACAGCCAGCCTCCCCACTGCCTGCTCCTTCTCCTTACACTGAGCAAGCCGGCGGTCTTACAGAGCGTCGTGAGCCTGCGTCTCGTTCTGCCTCCCCTGTTCGCACTGTTCGTCGCGTTCCTCGTCCGCGTCCCCCTCCTGTCCCCGCCACACACGCTATGGCACTTCGTCCTTCCTCTGTTCTACTGCGTGTTCCTCTTCCGCCTCCTCCTGAGTCCTCTCTTCCTGCCGTCCCTGACTTTGAGTCTGAGTGCGCTCTTGCTGCCAGTCCCACTGTCACTCGTCTCCTCGCCACTGTTGTCATTGACCCTTTCCTTTGAGTCCACTGATGTGTCTGCCCTCGTTGCTGAGCTGGTTGACTTTGCTGCTGCCTGTCATCTAGACTACGCCACTGCTCTTGTTGCTGAGTCTGAGTCTGCCTATCCTCCGTCCGTCGGGGGTGAGTGTGCTCTTGGCATGGACGTCCTTGAGGACAGGCAGGAGGACTTTGAGTGTCTTGCAGCTGCTGTACCTCGTTTCGCTTCCATTCTGCTTGCCCCTGAGGGAGACCCGGATGCACCAGACATCCCGACCTCGCACTCTTACGCAGAGGCGATTATGGGTCCTTACTCCTCTGAGTGGCAGACAGCCATGGATGCCGAGATGGCATCCTGGAAGTCCACAGGCACCTACGTTGACGCAGTTCCCCTGTCTGGGGCGAACATAGTCGATGGCATGTGGATTTTCAGGGTGAAGCGGCCGCCGGGTTCTCCGCCTGCCTTCAAGGCGCATTACGTTGCTCGAGGCTTCAGTCAGCAACAGGGGGTCGACTACTTCCAGACCTTCTCCCCCACCCCGAAGATGACCACTCTTCGGGTGTTGCTGCACGTCGCTGCTCAGCGTGACTACGAGTTGCACTCTCTGGACTTCAGTACAGCTTTCTTGCCGGGCAGCCTGCACGAGGAGATCTGGCTGCGCCACCCACGTGGCTTCACTGGGTCGTTTCCTGCAGGTACCCAGTGGAGCCTCCGGCGGCCAGTCTACGGTCTCCGCCAGGCGCCTCGCGAGTGGCACTACACACTGAGGACTACACTTGCGGCTCTGGGGTTTACTCCTTCTACTGCTGACCCGTCATTGTTTCTACACACCGACACGTCGCTGCCGCTGTTCTACGTCCTCGTGTACGTCGACAACCTCGTCTTTGCCACTGCTGACACAGAGGCACTGACCCTTGTGAAGTCGGAGCTGCAGAAGAGACACACCTGCACTGACCTGGGTGAACTGCGTAGCTATCTTGGCTTGCAGATCACCCGGGACAGAGCACGGCGCACCATCACACTGAATCATTCACACATAGTGCACCAGGTCCTTCAGCGCTTCGGCTTCCAGTTCTCCTCGCCACAGCCCACTCCTCTGTCTACCGGTCACCCGCTCTCAGCTCCACCTTCGGACATGTCCGTAGAGCCGAGTGGTCCGTACCCAGAGCTTGTGGGTTGCCTCATGTACCTGATGACGTGCACACGACCTGACCTCGCGTACCATCTCAGCCTCCTGGCTCGCTGCGTGGCTCCCGGCAGGCACCGAAAGGTGCACTGGGATGCTGCGAAGAGGGTACACTTTACTTGTGCAGTACGTCGGGCATGGGGCTTGTGCTTGGAGGACGGGGTCCAGTTGTCCTCACTGGTCACGCAGACGCTTCTTGGGTTGACGACTCAGCTACGCAGCGGTCGTCACAGGGTTACACCTTCAGCCTCGGTTCCAGCTCTGTTTCCTGGCGGTCTACCCACTCGTCTTTGGGTCTCAACTCCAGTTGTGAGGATGAGATCTACGCCGGGGCCATGGCTGCACAGGAGCTATGCTGGCTCACCTACCTGCTGACTGACTTGGGAGAGCAGCCTCGTTCTCCTCTAGTTATGTACGTAGACAACAAGGCCATGATTGCCTTGTGTCATGAGCACAGACTGGAGCACAGAATGAACCACATCGCTCTGCGATACTTCCTTGCTCTAGAGTTGCAGCAGCGTGGCCAGCTTCGTCTTGCGTACGTGGCCACTAGGGCCAACACTGCTGATATATTCACCAAGGCACTTCCGCCTGGTGATCATCAGCGCTTCTCTACTGTGTTAGGCCTTGTGCCTACTTTGCCTCACTTGCTTACTGCGTGACTTTGCTTGTAATGTGATCTATATTCATACCTGCATGCTTACACTTGCTAGTGTATGATCACTGGATTGTTTGTTCTCTTTTATATAACTCTGCATGTGAACTGGTTTTGTGGCCCTTTTCTTGTGCTCGGACTGTGTGGTGACTTTGTGATCCACCCTGAGCTTGCTTTGCTTCTCTTGACTGGTCTTGCGACCACTTGTTCTCCCCCACTTTGCCTATGGGGGTGTGTCAGAATGTTATAGTGCTTATATTTGTGTAGGCTATAGTGATGTAGCCCATAAAGGGTACAACCCAATTATGATTAGTACTTGTACCCAATTTCTGTTCAATGCATTCATTCTTGTTCGTTATTCTGACAGTCATCGTGGAGCGCGCTGGAGACCGCACGACAGGATTGAAAAGTAATTACGGTCAATAGAAACAATTTCTTACAATTCTTAAGTTAATTATCGAATCGATGATCCCTTATTTATCGTTTTCCCTGAATGTTGGGCTGGTTCGATCTGGAGCCTCTGATTGGCTGCGGATTTGATTCATGCAATGATTCGGTCAAGCTGCAAAATTTCCCGCCAAAAAAGGGACTATAGGGGCCGGGCCAAACCTAGGCGATGTCGGCAAACTCTACTCAAGCTGGAAAGGGACTCTCTTGGCGAAGACCTCTAACCCAGAACACGTGTACATGTACCGTACGGGAAGTACAGTGTTGCCGAATGCCGCCTGCCTCTCCTTTTGGTTCTGGCCTGCTCGAATTGTACTGTACTGTCTGTACAAATCACCACTCGAGCCGGATTTCTCTTTTCAAAAACCGTATGCTTCCCGTTCGCCACAGATGGTCTCGGTTGGTCTCGGTTCCTATTTTTTTTTTTTATCGGATCAAATATTGAGAATTCTGCGCGATGTGCAAGGACGATGAGATGAGACAAAGCTCACAAGCAGCCAAATTGGCCGCGTCAAAGATTTTTTTACCAACATCTATAGTTTACACAGTACACCCTGTTTCTCGCTACACTGACCCGCGCGTAACTGGCAGGCTGGCCTTGTCCTATTCGATTTGCCCAAATAAACCATACCGAAACCTAAATCAACCAGCCTCAACCGAGGCTTTTCACTCTGGAAGTCAGTATAGCGGACGTCAGTATGGCGAGAAAGAGGGTGTACAACACAACAGCAGCGTTGACCACTGTAACGCGGACAATGGTCATGTTCGACCGCGTCACCACATCACAGGCATGGTGCGGTGAGGCGAGGTGAGGAGGAGGGATGATGCGGTGCGGTGTTAGGCAACCACAAGTCACGTAACGCGTAGTGACATGGTCATTGATTGGTCGCCGTGCCTTCTTTGACATTTTCGAACCGAACGAGCCCAACCGAAGCACGCGTGAACCCGCCAGCTGTCGGGTCAAAGAAATTGTTTACCAGGTGATGTGGTCGATCACCCATAACATCTTAGGCTCGAGTGAAGCGCGTCACACATCTTATAGAAATAGCCCAATCATTTGCCATTCAGTTCAAGCACAACAACGCCTTTTTGTTGCACCAGCAACCAATTTCAGGAATCTGCACTTCGTGCAATACCCGTACACAATTGCTCCCGTTTCCTGCTCAACCCATCAGCTCAGCTTTCCCCGCAAGATTAGCTCCGACCACTCTTGTGGGAAAAGACTAGATTGGTCCCATCCCCTCCCTCCCATCCAAGCTCCAACTCCCAGCTTTGCTCCCGCCATCAAACATCACGCGTTTATCGGGACTGTTGCTGCACATCAACCATCAGACGTGGGTTGGGGACCAAGAAGGTTGTCACTCAAAATTGCATCCCCCATCGTCCCATTGACTATCGCAGCACATCATCCTGCAGTAACCAATTTTCCCCAGCTCCACGACAAATATCATGCGTCTGATCCACATCGCGTGCGCCGATTTTTCCAGGGCATAGCGAACCGTTCGCAGATTCTATTCCCTGGGATATGGCGGCGGCTGCAGTTCTTCTCGTGGATTCGAAACCTCCTGCCAATAATAGCCGCTACCCAGCAGCTTCCGGCGTACGATCCCCCGCATCTCCCGCCGCGCGATCCGCGTCACACGTGTCGGCGTACCAAGGCGACGACCTCTCGATGGATCCGCCGTCGGCGACTTCCGCCGCCGCCGACAAATCCGATGCTTCCCTCGACGGCGCAGGGGCGCAGCCGCCCCCCGCGCCGCATTCCGCGCCGAACCAATCGCAAGAATCCGGTACCGACACATTCCCGCGGCTTCCAGAAAGAGTCTCCGCCGCTGCTGGTGGCGCCGCGGGAGGGGCGTCCCGCCGGACCTTCTCGGATCGGCCCAAACGTCAACCTGTGCTTCGACACGCTGCGGAGGTGGTCTACTTGCCCAGGACGAGGTACCATCGTGATCGTCCTACAACAATGATTCAAAGCGCCGCCACCAGCCGCGGCGACGGGTTGAGCAAGGCGAAGAGCCATCGTCGCACCAGTTCTGACTGCGCGACAGGCCACAATTTCGACGCAGCGGCGGCGGCGGCGGAAACAGCGGGGGATGGAGCGGCGGCTGACGTGGCATTTCGGCTCCGAATCGCCGCGGGCCAGTCGGCGCCGCGTCGCGCGCTGACTCGGTCCGCGTTGTTTCAGCCGATCGACGGATGCGATTCGCCTCTCCCCAGCGGCTCTCCCGACGCGGAAGACTCATTCGCTTTCCCCGTCCGCGCTTCCGGGATCTGCGCCGCCGCCGCCGCTTCCGCCGCGTCTGCCGGTGCGATGCCACCATCGCGGATCTCCTCGACCGCAGAAACCGGCGGCGCGGATACGCGCCAGCTCAGCTCCATGGGAGCGCGAACTCCCTCCCGATCAGCGGCTGCGGCGGCAGTGGCAGCGATTGCCCCCGCGCAAGCCGCCTCAGGCCTCAGCGGTCCTCGGTCCCCAACCCCACCCACCTCTCAGGGCGTCCCGCGGACTCCTAGTCTCCGCCTTCCGCCTTCCCCCGCCTCCTCCCGCCGCGGCATCATCTCCCCTTCAAGCTTTCACGCGCCCGCCTGCCCGCTTCCGCCGCCTTCCCCTTCCGCCTCCCCCGTTTCCTCCCCCTGCCTGTCCCCGTCCTCGTTCTCTTTCGCCGTCCCTCGAGCGAATTCTCGCGAAAATCGAGCTTCGGCGGCGGTGAGTAGCAGCGTATCTCGCGGCTGTGACGGGGGGAGTGGATCCGGGCAGCGCGAAAATCTTCCGCGCAGCGTGAGCAGCCAATGGGACAGCTCGTCGCGCAGCCTGCGGGCAGGGCGAAATCTTTCAGTGAGCAGCCCCAACCGGATGCTGTCAACAAATCTGAACCTGAAAGCAGCAATGGCGTGTGTCGCGGGTGACTCAGCAACAGGCGCGGCTGACTCACCACGCGCTGGTGTTGCTGTCTCGGCAGCAATGCCGTCGCCCACTCGGAGCGCGACAGCTGGCGGCATCCTCCGACGTGGCAGCTTGAAAAGAATGCCATCACTCGACAGCATGTCGCCTGCGTATGCCACGTCATCATCCCCATCCAGCTCACCACTCTCAATCCACACCGCCGCCAACCCACCTACCGCAGCCATCCCTACCGAGCCTCACTCTGAACCTGCTACTGCTGGTACTGCCGAAGCTGCTACCGAAGCTACAGCTGCTGGTGCTGCTGCTGCTCCGTCCACCACCGGACCTCCCTCCCCAGGCCTCACCCCCAAGGCTTCCCCCATCCCCACTCCGCAGCTGTCCCCAGGTCCCTCACCCAAGGGGAAACATGTGCGGCACGTGTCGTTCAGCAACATGGTTCGTGTGAGGCGCTTCTCTGCCTGTGATGCTGACCTTGGCCCGGCTGCCGACGCTGCGATTACCGCCTTTGCCGAGGCAGAAGCAGCTGCTGCGGCTGCTGAAAGGGCCACAGCAGCAAAAGCATCAGCAGATGCAGAAACAGCAGCAGCAGCAGCAACGGCGGCGGAGGCAATGGCAGCGAAAGCAGCCAGGGAGGCAAGAGATGCAAGAGAGGCAAGAGCAGCAGAGGATAGTGCACAGGCCGCTCGCGTTCCCCCTGCTGCCCTGCAGCGGGGCAGCCAGAGTTTTTCAGAGCGGCCGCGTCGCCACTCCCGCTCCCCGTCCTACTCCGGATCTCTCCACCTGGTCCCCGAGCTTGCCGCTCAGCCTCGGGCCATTCGCCGAAGCTCCTCGTTTCAGAGCCTCGGCTCGGGTGCGTTAGCAGGCCAGCACAGCAGCTATGGTCGTCTGGGTTACCAACTAGCCTACCGCCCATCACACTACCCATTGAACCACCTAGCCCACCTCCCATCCAACCACTCACCCAACTACAACAGCAACCAAGGCTATTCTTCAGCAGGACGAAGCTACGGCGTGGAAGAGAAAAGAGTAGGGCGGCAATCGCTGCAAACGGGAGATACGAGGGCGGGGAGTGATTCAGGGGAGTTGGAGCTGGAGGTGAGAACCCCCCTGCCTCCCAAAACTCCTTCTCCTAGGCTGTCCCCCTCACCGAGGGTGCAAAGGCTGCTGCAGCACATGTGGGGTGACTTGGACGATGGGGACGCTGCGTAGGTGTTTTTTAGGAGGGAAATATTTGCTTTATTTGTTTAGTTATGTGTTTATGTGGGCGAGGCATAGCTATGTGCTACCCACCCAGGGTTTGGGGTGCAAGGTTCTTTTGTGTGACTGTATCTGAATCTGAACTACCGTATAGTGCCAATTTCAGTGTGTGAGCCGAATCATGCTTGGCTGTGTTAAATGATTCCCATCTACACCTGGAAAACCGGACAACGATTTCTCCTCTAGTTCTTCTCTAGTTGAAGGGAGTCGAATCAACTAGTGGTACCGGTACCATAGTAGGATGTCTGGTCAAAACCATCTGTGACGATTCCACATGCCCAATACACTTGCCTTACTCGAGGAGTGAAATCACAACAGCTACAGCAATTCCTGCTGTTAGAGAGGCGAGTTGAATGACTGTAGAGAGGATGTCAACCCCCTGGGAGTGCATGTCAGGCATAACCCCTGCCACTGCAATGTAGATAAACCCCCCTGCTGTGAATCCCTGCAGCGCAGTGGGATGAGGGGAGAAAATAAGACGAATCAAGGTCATATACTATGAGTCGACTCTTGAGTGCATGTCAGGCATAACCCCTGCCACTGCAATGTAGATGAACCCCCCTGCTGTGAACCCCTGGGTACAGCGAAGGAAGATAACACGGAGAGAACGTGTAAAATTGAGTTATTGAGATAAAGAACGGGTGTGCAGTGTCCCCTCTGGCCATCTCAGAATGAGAGCTCGTGAATGTGCGATGAGGAAACTCACATCACACACTGTCATGCATGCTGTAAGCAACAATCCACACCCATTTACACATGAAAGCTCACCTTTACGAGCCCCGAGTGCTGCTCTCCGAATATGAGAGCGCATGGAGAGATGCGCGTTGAGGAGAATCACAGCATACACCAGCATGCATGCAAAGACAGCTCACACTCTTTTGGACAAGAGAGCTCACCTCTATGAGACTGGAGTGGGCCTCCTGCCCTCCGAATATGAGTGTCGTGTCTGTCTGGAGGTATGTGTGTTGAGGGTACTCACAACACATAGGTCATGCATGCTGTCAGCAACAGCTCACACTCTTTTGGACGAGAAAGCTCACCTCTATGAGACCCGAGTGGGCCTCCTGCCCTCCGAATACGAGCGCCTGAAAAGGAGGCAAGTGAGGGAGGGATGGAGAGGGAGAAAAGGTAGAATCAAGGTTACTGGTGACGAAAGCTCTGATGGGAGCAATAAAACTGGCAGTAAAGCTTTTGCGGGAACGATAAGTGGCGGTGAAATAGTAAGAAACGGTGAAGATTTCATGGACTAAAGGGACTGGTGAGAAATGGTGAAGCACGGGAAGAATCGGTGGAGCACAGGCAGGGATGGGAGGTGTGACAGAACCAGTGAGTACAGCACAGTGAAGGCTGAAAAGGAAGAGGATAATAGCAAGAGCTTGAGATAATAGGAATTTGATAGGGAGAGGAGGAGAGGAAGTGAGGGAGCGGGCAACTATTCAGCAGCAGTGCCGAGCAGGGCAGTGGGGGCGGAGAGGAAGTTGATGGGAAGAGGTGATTATAGAGAGGTGGGGTGAGGGCGAGGAAAATCATACAGCGGCAGTGCCGAGCAGAGCAGTGAGGGCGGAGAGGAAGTTGAGAGCCAAGGCCTGCGTCACCCCCATGCCTGACCGCACCAGAATGCCAAAGTCGCCAATCTGGAGAGGAAGATGCAGGGGAGAGGGAGGGGCGGGGGACGTAGAGGAGACGAGGGAGCGGGGGACAAAGGGGGGGACAAAGGGGGGGACAAAGGGGGGGACAAAGGGGGGGACAAAGGGGGGGACAAAGGGGGGGACAAAGGGGGGGACAAAGGGGGGGACAAAGGGGGGGACAAAGGGGGGGACAAAGGGGGGGACAAAGGGGGGGACAAAGGGGGGGACAAAGGCGGTAAAGGGACCAGAGAGGATTGAGTACATGCATCCCCACGGGGGGAATAAAAGCTCCTTACCCCATCCCTTGCTGTTGCCTAGAGCCTCACCTCTTGAGGGATCTCGTGTGCGAACACGAAGAGCATGCGCGAGTAGCCCCGCAATGCTGTCAAGAGTGGCCCCCAGCGCTTTCAGTCAAGAGTGCACCTGAACCGACTCAAGGAAAGCCCCCACTCACCTCCTGAGGGATCTCATGCGCGAGCATGAAGAGCATGCGTGAGTAGCCCCCCAATCCTCCCCGATGGAGGAACGCCGATCCCAGCGACATGCCATCCGTGAAGTTGTGCTGTGAGGAGGTGAGGGGGCAAGTAGAGAGGGGGCGAGTGGAGGGAGAGGGAGGCATGAAGAGCATGTGTGAGTAGCCAGCCAGCCCTCCCCAATGGAGGAACGCCGATCCCAGCAACATGCCGTCCGTGAGATTGTGCTGTGGGGGGGTGGAGGGGAGGGGGATAGGGGCCGGGGGGGGGGGAGGGGGAGGGTGACATGTGCGGAGGGGACATGTGCGGGGGGGGCATGTGCGGAGGGGACATGTGCGGGGGGGGCATGTGCGGAGGGGACATGTGGGGAGGTGGGCATGATGCAAGCATGGGCCCTGAAGGCCGAGCCCAGCGACATGCCGTCCGTGATGTTGTGCTGCCAGGGGAGGTGGGGGGGGAGGGGAAGAGGGGGGAGTGGGAGTGGGCCATGGGCGGGGGTGGGCATGCTACAAGTCCACACGACTGCTTACACGCCACAATTCTCCCCTCCCAGCACTCACCACGCCATCAGAGAAGAGGTTGAGGTACCCCAGCACCAGGTGCTTGCTCGCTACAGGTGGGCCCACTGCTGCTGCCCCGCTGGCTGCTGGTGCTGCCACTGGCAGGCACTGCCTCGGCCACTCACCAGGTTGATTGCCAACTGCTCGCACCACATCACCCATCCCCCAGCACTCACCACGCCATCAGAGAAGAGGTTGAGGTATCCTAACACTAGGTGCTTGTTTGCTGCAGGGGGGGGCACTGGTGCTGTTGCTGGTGCCACCACTGGCACAGCCTTAGCCACTGCCCGGGCCTTCTTATCGTCATTATCAAGTGCTGTCGCCTCATCACCCACCTTCTCCTTCCCCTCCTTCCCCTCCTTCCCTTCCTTCTCCTCCTCTCCGTTCCCGTCTGCTGTCACTGTCTGTGAATCAGCAGTGGCCCTCCGCCTCCTCAGCCCCTCACTTCCACCACCTGTGCTTCCCTTTGTCTTCTTCTCCTCTTCTCCCTCCCCTTCCTCCTCCTTAGCTTCTACAGCTTCTGTGTTTTTTTCCTTCTCCTTCTTCTCTTCCTCCTTCCCCTCCTTCACCTCTTTCCCAGCCTCCTCCTCCCCTTTCTCTGCCTTCATCTCACTCTCCTCCCCTCCCTCGCCCTCCTCCTCTCCCTCATCCACATTCTCCCAACCGTCCTTCGAACTCACTTCTCCCTCATCCTCGCTCTTCCCATTCTCACCAGTGCTCCCATCATCCAAACCACTTTCTCCTCCGCCCTCCGCTTTCCTGTCCCTCCTCCCTCCTCCACCCTTCTCCTCCTCACTCACTTTCTCACACTCATCCTCGCCTGAATTCTCCTCTTTCTGGCCCTCATGCTTGCCATGGTGGTGGTGGCTGTGACTATGCCCATGTCCAGCAAACGGCACAGCAGCGCCTCTAGAGGTGAGTTCCTCCACGCGCCTGACAATCTTCTCCACCAGGAAGAAGAGCACGATGCCCACTGCAGTGGGGGGAAGGGGTCCAGGAAAGGGATGCAAGATGGGTAAAAACAAAGGAGAAGCACAAAGGCACACGGCGCCTCTAGAGGTGAGCTCTTCAACGCGCCTCACAATCTTCTCCACGAGAAAAAAGAGCACGATGCCCACTGCAGTGGCGAAAGTGTGAGGGGAAGGGATAGAAGGACAAGTGAGAAAACGGCTGTGGGCAACATAGGAGCACCTTTAAAGGTGAGTTCCTCCACGCGCCTCACGATTTTCTCCACCAGGAAGAAGAGCACGATGCCCACTGGAGAGGGGGATTGGGAAGCAGGGCGGGTGAAAACAAGGGTGATGGTGGTGGTGGTGGTGGTGGCGGCGGCGGCTACAGTGGCAGCAGCAGCGGTGGTGGTGGTTGTGACGGCGGCGGCGGCAGCAGCAGCGGTGGTAGTGGTTGTGGCGGTGGCGGCGGCAGCAGCAGCAGCGGTGGTGGTGGTGGCTGTGTGAGAAGAGCAGGTTTACCGCAGTGGCAACAGCGAGCCAGTGGTCGACTCACCCAGCACAGCAATGCCAACAGACAGGTCCTCGAGAGAATGCGCGTGCCCTCCACCCTCCACTGCATGCTCATGGTCATGCCCGTGCCCATGCCCATGGTCATGTGAATGGGATGCATGCCCATGCGCATGGTCATGGTCATGCGCGTGGTTGTCATGGTTGTGGGAGTGGGCTCCACTGCCTGCAATCATAATGTGGCGGAAATGAAGTTTTTACATTATGGCAACGAGGCAACTTCAAGCCGAATCAAATGTCACCACGTGACTGCAGTGATGGGAATGGGGTTTATAATGAAACTGAAACGAGAGGAGACGCTTTGGCAGGAGGCGAGGGCTGCGAGGAACGGATGCCAGGCGGGGAGCGGAGGGAGAACAAGGGAAGCTCACCGAACGCGTGCGGTAACTGGTGCAGGAAGGCATCTCCCAACATCGCTCCAGCCTGCAGGCAACGGGAAACAGGGGGAAAAAAAAGAGGCGATTGGTATGCTTTGAGGTACCTCAAACACGCCTCTCCGCACGCATGTGGTAAGTGGTGCAGGAAGGCATCTCCCAGCATCGCTCACGCCTGGAGAGAACAAGGCAGACGGGGAAGCAGAAAGGGAGTCACGACAGAGGCGACTTGTAAACTGTTATTTAAGGTCACTGAAACGGTATAAGGCAACTCAACTCAGTCACTCAGCCCCACACTAACAGTCACCCATGCACTCACTCTCTCACCCACTCATTTTCAATTACTCACTCACTCACTCACTCACTAACCCGCTCATTCTCAATCACACACTCACTCACCCCGAATGCTGCCAGGCCATCCACCAGCGCCTGCGGCAGCTTGCCCTTGTCTGCAGCGAGACACACAAGCAGGTGACGTGTGGGATGGGAAGGGGCGGGTGCGAGTGAGACTGCGTGTGATTGATTAGAGGAGTGAGAAGGGTCGGATGAAAAATGCACCAGCAAAAAAAAAAAAAAAAAAAAACGCAAAATGGAAACGGTCAGCACAGAAGAAAGGGCCTTACAGCAAACAAGCGGCAGGAGGGTGAGGCAGATGAGGGAGCAGAGCGAGACAACGAGTGCACTCCCCATTGCCTCCAACCATATGGCTGCGTGAGTGACACCGGAACAATGGACGTGCGAGAATGGGATCACAACCACAGTCAAGCAAAGGCAGGCAGTGGTAAAGCAGGCGGATTGGGAAGGGGGGTAGAGGGATGGGTTTGAGACGACTCAAAGCACAAACGGCGTGCGAGAATAGGATCACAACCGCATTCAACCACAGTCGAGCAAAGGCGGGAGAAGGTAAAGCAGGCGGGTTGGGGTTAGGGGATGGTGGGAAGAGGGGTTCGAGAGGGGAAACGAAGATCTGATAAGTGCAGAGGAGAAGAGAGGAGAGGGGAGGAGAGGAGAGGAGAGGAGAGGAGAGGAGAAGAATTGCTGCTGGATGTGGAAAAGAGTGGCAAAAGCAGCAAGAGATTTCTGATCCATGGGCGTACCTAGCATCTTCGGATCCATGCTCCAGATAGGAGCACCGGCCTCCCAGTCCTCCTCCTCCTCGTCCTCCTCTGCTTCCAGCAGCGCCCTCTCCTCCGCCTCCTCCTCCGGGTGCCTGAACCCTGACGCCCGCTCCCTCTCTCTCCTCGCTGCCTGCACTTCACCTTTCAGTTTCGCTGTTGCTTTGTGTGAATGGCGTACGTACCTAGCATTTTCGGATCCATGCTGCTCCAGATAGGTGTAACCGTCTCCCAGTCCTCCTCCTCCTCCTCGTCCTCCTCTGCTTCCAGCAGCGCCCTCTCCTCCGCCTCTTCCTCCGGGTGCCTGAACCCTGACGCTCGCTCCCTCTCTCTCCTCGCTGCCTGCGCCTCGCCTTTCAGTTTCGCTGCTTCGTGGGAGTGACGGTGGTGCTGTCCATGTGCATGCTCATGCCCATGCCCATGCTCATGCCCATGCCCATGCCCATGCTCATGCCCATGCCCATGCCCATGCTCATGCTCATGGTCATGCTCGTTGTGTGAGTGTGCATGCATGTGTGTGTGCTCATCTGCAGCATGCTCTTTACCATTGTGGAATAGGGATGAGAGGGCACGTGGGGTTGGGGGAGGAAAGGGGAGGGAAAATGGCGTGTTAGGGGTAAAGAAGAAGCTAACATTGATGTTCATGCAGCATCGCTGAGGCTTTGAAATGCAATATCAGTCTTACGAGTTTGAGCATGCAATTTCAGAGCTTCAGGATGCAGTTCAGTCCTTCCGAAGGGTGAATCAATGCTCCAGGAGGAGATTCGTTTACCCTCCAAAGACGCAAATTCTGTCTTCCAGGATGCAGATTTACTGCTCCAAAAAGCAAATTCAAGGTGTTGTCAATGAAGCGATTCTCTGGACGCACCTAGATCTTCCCAAGATGACCAGGATCCACCGGCGCCAGCACCATGTATGTGACCATGGTCATGGTCATCGGAATGTCTGTGGTCATGGGAATGGTCATGGCCGTGGCTGCACTGCGCTGACGCAAGCTCTGACGTCGTCGCCAGGTATACCACCAGCGTAACAATCGCGGTAAGGGACACGAGGAAGCTTCTGGACGTCATCGCGTGGAATTATCGAAAGAGATTTACGTAAATGGTGGATTCTAGCAATTCTAACTTAAATTTAAGGCAGAAAGCAACAGGCCCTTCTTATAAACGACACTACGAGACTTGGCCTTACATTCCTGTCACCTTTTCGAACATACGGTTGTGCAGGAACCAGGCTCAAGTCAAACGGTGGTAGAAACCTAAATTAGTGAAGGGAAATGGAAATTTGAATGGATTGTGGCTTGGAAGTGACAGGAGCGGCATGCTGGTTATGCTGTCTCCCAGATGTACGTTTCACTGCATTACAGTTGGGTTCCTTACAATCGAAATCGGTGGATGAGTTCTGTGAGCGGTTGAGCTTGGTGATAGGAAATCTGAACATTAGGAACTGCCCGCGGTGATGTTCGGGGCAGCGAGAACTGACACGAAATCTGCACTCCCTGTGTGGTAACATTATTTCAGTGACTCCGAGAACGTAGTTGAGGATTTTGCATTTTAGGTTTCGTATCACAGCAGACGAGTTTGTTTCTTGAAAGCGGAATGCGACTGGGGAGTCATTAGCCTTGGGATTGGTTCAACAGAAAAGCCGAACATCTTGGCTGAAGGCGATGCCGTGGGTTTTAGTGCGGTTCTACTCGCTTCATATCCCCACAGCCCATGAAACTCCTGGCTATGCTAAGAGCAGATTCCATTTTCATGGGTTGCGTGTGCTCCGCGTGAGCTTTTGCTTGCTTTCGTCATGCCTCCCGCTTTAGGTGATAGGCCAGTGTACATTCTTTAGGAAGTCACGTTGGTACCTTTGGACGCTCTTTTTTTATAGCGTTTTCCAAGATTGAAGAAATCCTTGATATAATCAGGTCCGGAGGTACCGTGGTTTCGCCTGATCCACCGGAGTGGTAGCCATGGCGGGATACGACGACCCTCCCCCCTTTAGAGACGGAAGCAGCGCACGATCAGGCAGCACGGATCCGCACACCGATCTGTACGCGCTGTTGCACGTCTCGCGCGATGCTTCCGACGATGATCTGAAACGCGCGTATCGGCAGCTCGCGTCTGTCTACCACCCTGACAAGTACCCCTTTCCGCAGGTCAGTCGGTGACGTCTCAAATTCGACCGCTTTACAATTTAGCACCGTCAGCATGAAATCATTTTGAGTTTGGAGCTATAGATACTTTTAGTCACGTTCCCGCACCCACCTCGCCGCCGCTCACTTCGTCATTCTTCCGCAAGGGGTCATCCCCGTTATTATCCCCCCCCGCTACGTGTTACAGATGCAAGATGTAGCCAAGGACCACTTTCAGCGCATCCGATCCGCGTACGAAGTCCTTTCTGATCCGGCCAAGAGACAGGTGTGTGAGAGTGTCGTGACGGTATGTGAGTGTGACAGTAACGGGTGGAAACCTGCGATTGAGGCTTTTGAGAGGTCTTGCAACACTAAATCGCGTACGAGGTGCTTTTTGACCCGGCAAAGAAAGAAGGAGCTGTGACAAGAACAGAGAGGATAGGTGTTGAGGTTGCAACTTGCAAGGTCTCTTACCTCCTTCCACCACCCCGCATCTCTCCGCACCTCTCCCCACCTCTCGCCACCACTCTCCACCGCACACTCTCTACAGGTGTACGATCTGTACGGCATAGAGGGCGTGGTATCAGGCATGGAGCTGGGCCCTCACCTGCGCACGAGGCAGGAGATTCGAGAGGAGTGGGAGCGGGCGCAGAGGAGGAGGGAGGAGCTCAAGTCGGCTATGCGCACTCAGCACTCCTCTTCCATGCTGCTGTCCGTGACTGCTGCTGATGCCATTGCCTCGGGATTCGACCGCTTTCCTAGAATCACTGGGTAAGAACTAAGGGGTCTGGGAGCATTGGGAGGAGTGGGATGAGCGGTGGGAGGAGGTCGGGCTTTGTATTGATTGGGTGAGCAGTGAAAAGGTTGGGTTGAGTGGGAGGAGTGGGAGTGGGCACAGAGGAGGAGGGAGGAGTTGAAGGCGGCTATGCGCACTCAGCACTCCTCCTCCATGCTGCTCTCGGTCACTGCTGCCGATGCCATTGCATCCGGATTCGAGCGTTTTCCCAGAATCCCTTTCAAACCCGAAACGTTAAACCCTGTTTCCAACATGCAGATGTCAATTCAGGTGCAGGCAGCACCTTCAGACAAGGTCACCTTCAGACAAGGCCACCTTCAGACAAGGCCACCCTCGTGCTGAGGGCTTCCATGCCCTTCTTGCTTTCCTTCAACCCCACACCCCATTCCCCCCTCCTCTATACGCAACCCCTCCTCCTTTCCCCCCCCTCTCAGCATGCAGATGTCGACTCAGGTGCAGGCAGCGCTGTCAGACAAGGACACACTCGTGCTGGGGGGCTCCATGCTCATGAGACCCCCCTCCTTACCCCAACACCCAGCCCCATCCCCGGAACCACTCTCTTTTCATCCTCCCAGCATGCAGATGTCGACTCAGGTGCAGGCAGCGCTGTCAGACAAGGACACACTCGTGCTGGGGGGCTCCATGCTCATGAGGCCCCCCTCCTTACCCCAACACCCAGCCCCATCCCCGGAACCACTCTCTTTTCATCCTCCCAGCATGCAGATGTCGACTCAGGTGCAGGCAGCGCTGTCAGACAAGGACACACTCGTGCTGGGGGGCTCCATGCTCATGAGGCCCCCCTCCTTACCCCAACACCCAGCCCCATCCCCGGAACCACTCTCTTTTCATCCTCCCAGCATGCAGATGTCGACTCAGGTGCAGGCAGCGCTGTCAGACAAGGACACACTCGTGCTGGGAGGCTCCATGCTCATGAGGCGCGTGGCGGGGGGAGGGTCCATGGTGGCGGTATTTCGCAGGCAGATGGACGCGTATCAGACAGGCGAGCTGGTGGCTGTGGTGGGCATGCGCACCCAGCTCACTCTTTCTACTGCCAGGTGGGTTGATGTCTGCCTGGGGCTGTGCCCTAGTGGGTGTGGGTGGATGCTCATGAGGCGTGTAGCAGGGGGAATGGGAGGGAGGGTCCATGGTGGCGGTGATTCGCAGGCAGATGGACGCGTATCAGACAGGCGAGCTGGTGGCCGTGGTGGGCATGCGCACTCAACTCACCCTCACCACTGCCAGGTATGGCACGTAATCAGGGAATTTGAAATTGTCTCCCCTTATTGTTCCAAAGGTATATCTGTCCCGCTTCTCCCTCCTGCCCCACTCCTTGGCTTGGGGCTTTAAGAACTTTACCTCTCGCCCTGTCTGAAGTGCAGGCAAGTGTCTCTGTTCTATCCGTCACCTCGCGTTCCATTCCGATCGCTCGCATCCTCTCATGTGCAGACAAGTGTCGCCGACCACAAAGGCAACAGCAGGGGTGACGTGGCATGCTGACGATGGCTCGCTCTCATTGGCCAATTCGTGGTCGTCCCAGATCACTGAATCCACTTCAGCATCGGTAAGCTAATTTGCTCCTCGGTCTACTCAGACTTAAGAATCACTTCAGACTATTTGTTGTTTATCATTTTTTATTGCTTGTGCTCTTCTTATCAACTTT